ACATTAGTTCTGGGTGTCCTTTTTTCCGACTTGTGGTCCTCTGATGCTTGGCAGTTTAACATTTTTGCTCTTTTTCGCTCTCCCCTCTCTCTCTCACACACTTTTTCTCTGAGTACATAATTACTGGGCATTCATTAACTGTTTTTTGTTTCGACTTGGCTTTTATTTGTTGTTATTTAACAATGCCTTTTTAGGAGTAGGGGCCAAATTGCTTTGCTGCGCAGTTTTAGGATTTTTTTTTTCGGTGTGTATTTTCAAGGACCTCCCTTTCCTGCCGGGCTTCTTTCCATGTAAGTGGACACAAATGTTGGTTACTAATTAAAATGTTTGTTAAACATGACTTTATGGTTTGGAAAAAAAAACACAAAACCAAAAACTTGTTTTTCATCTAATGACTGTCAGTTGTCGAGCCAAGGGCAGCAAAAATTCCATGAAATGTGGTTGTGAAAAGGTTCAGAGATAGAATTTGTAAAAGGATCTAATCCTATTCCCAAGGTTGATAATTAAATAAAGTATTCAAAAAAAACATAAAATACTCCCCCCACCCCCCCCCCCCCCCAAACGTATGAGTGATGACGACAATCATACGCCAATAGGGACAATTTTTTTTATTGAAAATTCTTGGGTTTCCAAAGGTGAAACCCCTTTTTTCCCAGGATTTTCTATCAATGGGGATTTAAAAAAAAAATATTTTCCAAATACTATCCATCAATCGGTTTAAATTGGCTATTTACATTTTTGTTAATGGATTTTGAGTCAACATAGATTTTTTAAAAACATTTTTTCCAAGAACTTCTGAACAAAGTAAATATTTTAAAAATATTTTTTATAAATATTTTCCAACGTGGATTTTTGGAAATATATTTTTTCAATACTCACAAGATTTTTTTCACCACAGAAAAATGTGGATTTTTGGGAAATATTTTTTCAATATCCGCAGGATTTTTTATAAAAATATTTTTTTAAAAAAATCCACGTTTTTTCTGAGGTCTCCAAAAATAACTTTTAAAAAATCCACGTTTGTGTTGAGGTCTCCAAAAATAACTTTTAAAAAATCCACGTTTGTGTTGAGGTCTCCAAAAATAACTTTTAAAAAATCCACGTTTGTGTTGAGGTCTCCAAAAATAATTTTTAAAAAATCCACGTTTATATTGAGGTCTCCAAAAATTATTTTTAAAAAATCCACGTTTATGTTAAGGTCTCCAAAAATTATTTTTAAAAAATCCACGTTTATGTTAAGGTCTCCAAAAATCCACTTTTATGTTAAGGTCTCCAAAAATGATTTTTAAAAAATCCACTTTTATGTTAAGGTCTCCGAAAATTATTTTTAAAAAATCCTCGTTTATGTTAAGGTTTCCAAAAATTATTTATTAAAAATCCTCGTTCATGTTGAAGTCTCCAAAAAATATTTTTAAGAAACACATGTTTATGTTAAGGTCTCCAAAAATTGTTTTTAAAAAATCCATGTTTATTTTTGGATTTTGGAAAAATATTTTTAAAAAATCCAAGATTATGTTGAGGTCTCCAACAATTATTTTTAAGTAAACCACGATTATGTTAAGGTCTCCAAAAATTATTTTTAAATAAACCACATTTATATTAAGGTCTCCAAAAATTATTTTTAAAAAAGCCACGTCTATTTTTAGTATTAAAAAATATTTTTTAAAAAATCCACGTTTATTCTGGAATTAAAAAAATATTTTTTAAAAGTCCTAGTTTATTTTTGGAATTAAAAAAATATTTTTTTAAAAGTCCTAGTTTATTTTTGGAATTAAAAAAATATTTTTTAAAATAATCCATGTTTATTCTAGAATTAAAAAAATATTTTTTTTTAAATCCTCGTTTGTTCTGGAATTAAAAAAATATTTTTTAAAAATCCTCGTTTATTTTTGGAATTAAAAAAATCCACGTTTATTTTGGAATTAAAAAAAATATTTTTAAAATATCTACGTTTATTTTGGAATTAAAAAAATATTTTTAAAATATCCACGTTTATTTTTGGAATTAAAAAAATATTTTTTTAAAAGTCCTAGTTTATTTTTGGAATTAAAAAAATATTTTTTAAAATAATCCACGTTTATTCTAGAATTAAAAAAATATTTTTTTTTTTAAATCCTCGTTTGTTCTGGAATTAAAAAAATATTTTTTAAAAATCCTCGTTTATTTTTGGAATTAAAAAAATCTACGTTTATTTTGGAATTAAAAAAATATTTTTAAAATATCCACGTTTATTTTGGAATTAAAAGAAATATTTTTTTTTAAAATATCCACGTTTATTTTGGAATTAAAAAAATATTTTTAAAATATCCACGTTTATTTTGGAATTAAAAAAAAATATTTTTAAAATATCCACGTTTATCTTGGAATTAAAAAAAATATTTTTAAAATATCCACGTTTATTTTGGAACTAAAAAAAAATATTTTTAAAAAATCCACGTTTATTTTGGAATTAAAAAAAATATTTTTAAAAAATCCACGTTTATTTTCCAATTTTAGAAAAATATTTTAAAAAAATCCACGTTTATTTTTGGATTTTAGAAAAATATTTTTAAAAAATCCACATTTATTTTTGGATTTTAGAAAAATATTTAAAAAAATCGCCATTTAGTTTTGGATATTTTTAAAAAATTCTCGTTTATTTAGCAATTTTAGAAAAATATTTTTCAAAAATCCCCATTTATTGATTTTTGGATTTAAGGAAAATATTCAAGGAGTTTTTTAAAATATATTTTTTTTTCACCACCAAAAATACCTGTTTTTTTGGAAAATATTTTTTCAATATTCCTGGGATTTTTTATCAAAATATTTTTTTTTTTTTTGCCACTAAAAAGACGTGGATTTTTGGAAAATATTTTTTTCAATACTCACAGTATTTTCACTATTTTTGTTAATATTATTCACAGAATTTTTTATAAAAATATATTTTTTCACCACTAAAAAGTTTTTGGAAAATATTCTTTCAATATTCCTTTTATTTTTTATCAAAATATTATTTTTTGTCACTAAAAAATGTGGATTTTTGAAAAATATTTTCTCAATATTCACAGTATTTTCATTATTTTTTTTTTTTTTTAATATTATTCATAGACTTTTTTTATAAAAATATATTTTTCACCACTAAAAAGACGTGGGTTTTTGGAAAATATTCTTTCAATAGTCCTGGGATTTTTTATCAAAATATTATTTTTTGTCACTAAAAATGTGTATTTTTGAAAAATATTTTTTCAATATTAACAGGATTTTCATATTTTTTTTTTTTTTAATATCATTCACAGAATTTTTTATAAAAATATTTTTTCTGACCACTTAAAAAAAGACGTGGATTTTTGGAAAATATTTTTTCGATATTCCTGGGATTGTTTATCAAAATATTCTTTTTTTTACCACTAAAAAGACGTGGATTTTTGAAAAATATTTTTTCAATATTCACAGTATTTTCATTATTTTTTTAAATATTATTCACAGAATTTTTTATAAAAATACGTTTTTTAACAATAAAAAGACGTGGGTTTTTAGAAAATATTCTTTCAATATTCCTGGGATTTTCTATCAAAATATTCTTTTTTGCGACTAAAAAACGAAGTGTATTTTTTGAAAACAATTTTTTGAATATTTTTTTTTAATATTAAAAGCTATTTTTATAGAAATATTTTTTTCATTTCTTATTTTTTTTTTTTTTTGGAAAATATTTTTTTAACATTCACAGGGTTTTTTATGGAAATATTTTTTACCACTAAAAAGACGTGGATTTTTGGAAAATATTTTTTATAAAAATATTTTTTTTTTTTTTTTTGAAAATATTTTTTTTATAAAAATATTTATTTTTCACCACTAAAAAAAGACGTGGATTGTTGTAAAATATTTTTTCAATATTCACAGAATTTTTTATAATTTTTTTTTTGGAAAAAAAAATATTTTTTCGATATTCCAAGAATTTTTTATGGAAATATATTTTTTGCCACTAAAAACAGATTTTTTATAAAAATATATTTTTTTCACCACTAAAAAGAGATATTATTTTCAATATTTATTTTTTATTACTCACAGTATTTTTTTCAATATTCACAGGATTTTTATAAAAATATTTTCTTTCACCTCTAAATAGACGTGGATTTTTGGAAAATATTTTTTTTTTTTTTTTCAATATTTACCGGATTTTTTATAAAAATATTTTTTCACCACTAAAAAAAGGCGTGGATTGTTGGGAATTTTTGTTTTTCAATATTCACAGATTTTTTATAAATTTTCTGGGAAAAAAAATATTTTTTTTCAAAATTCAAAGAATTTTTTATGGAATTTCATTTTTTGTCACTAAAAACAGGTGGATTTTCGGAAAATATTTTTTCAATATTCGCAATTTTTTTAAATAGTAAGCTTGTTGGAAATGAGGTGTTGGATTGGCGCCCAATCGTAAAAAAATAAAATTTCATGATTTTTTTAGAAGTTAGTCTTAAGGGCCATCCGTTGGCGCCCAATCACAACAAAGGGATTTTTTTCCTACAGCCTGTTGTCAATCATATGCCTTTGGGGGATTTTATTCTTTCTCCCTTCTCTTTTTTTTTTTTTTTTTGAAAATATTTTATTCATATTCCGAATTATTATAATTGGTAAAAAAATTCCATAATTTATCTTAATAAAGATAATGTTCAGATTATTTTCTCCGGTGAGCATATCCTTTGAAATATTTTATGAGAATTTCATGTCATTTATTATGGCAGCTGACAGCCATCGCCAGTTATTTTTTATTTTTCTTTTTTATTCTCTCCCTCTATCTCTCTCTCTCTCTCTCTCTCGCTTCATCTCAAATTGATATCATTAATATCAATCATACATCCGCTAGAATACCTAGACCACACAAAGAGAGTGAGGGCGTGAGAAATAGAGAGAGAGTGAGAGAGAGAGGGAGAGGCGGGTAGACAAATCATCAGCATTGTCATCGTTAATGTCATCATATTTTATAAAATTTAATACCGACAGCATGTCCTTTTCATCCTTTGCAGGTTCTTTTATATTTTTAACAATTGAAAGTGAAGATGCCACTCTGTTGCAGCAACAAAGGACTCTGGCCTCGACGAAGAGGAATATTGGGCCGCACAAGGCAACGCCAGGCCAACCAGGACCGATTGCAGTTAACAACAACAACAATTTATATCACACACAACACCAACAACCACACCATACGGACAATGGCACAATGAATGCAGCGGGTGTTCCCTACTCCTCCTCCCCCTCCAATGGAGTACCAGCATCCTCATCATCATCCTCTTCACCCTCGCAAATGATGGAGGGTGTCATCTCATTGAATAACAATGATTTCAGTTACGGTGATGAGTTCACACCTCAGTATGCCCTGTCGCCGGACACCTATGATGTACGCCAAAGGACCATAGAAAATATCTGGGATATCACGGTATCCTTGAACATTTTGTACAAGGAGAACTGGACAAAGTGAGTATAAGGATGGGCCTGGGAGGCCATAATAGCTGTAACTTTAACTATTCACCCCTCTCTTTCTCTCTTCCTATCCCTCTCCCCCACTCAACAGATTGGCCGCCCTGGAAATTGCCAAATTTCAGGACCAATTAATTAAGAGACTGAACGAAGATGCCATGTTGCAATTAACGCATGACACCGATGTTAATGGCCAGACACCGGCCACCGAAGCAGTGCTGCTGTTCCATCAGCATGGCCTGTCACCGCATCATCTGCACCATCATCATCATGAGTGGAATTTTGCCAGGGCCTTTTTGTATTCGCTAACGGTGCTGACCACAATTGGTAAGTTGAGAATGTGACCCGCCCCCACCCCCGCCCCCTTTGGAACTATTTTTCCAAAATTTCCAAAAAAGAAAATTCGAGTCCTGAAATAAATTCTTTCGAGAGAATTTTGAAATGGCCAAAGAGGTTCCAGCAGGACCAAGAAAAAGGGGAACAGAATTAAAAACATTTTTTTAAATAATTTTCAAAATTAATTTAAGAGAAAAAATCATAAAAATGAAATTTTGGATTTTTTTTTTGAAATTCGTACCAAAAGGTACGAAAAGTACTAAAATGTACTAAAAATTTAATATTTTGTTTTGAACAATAATCTAAAATACTGAGAATTGAAATGAGACTCAGTGATGGACAGCAGGATAGATGTAACAAAGGGTTTTTTGGAAATTCGTACTAAAAGTGAACGAAAAGTACTAAAATGACACTAAATTTCAAAAACCGCACCATTTGGTATTATTTGAAGGTATAGAGCCAAATACTTGAAATTTTGTATGGGATTCAAGGTTTATGGGGTCAAGTAAGTTTGACACATAAGAAGGTGTTTTTGGAAATGTGTACCATCTTCGTACGAAAAGTACCTAATTGTACTAAATTTGGTATTGGATGAAGCGATGGAGATAAAATTCTGAAAATTGATATTTAGATTACTGATGTTATCTGAACTTGAGATATGGAGGTTGTTTTTGGAAATGTCTCCTATATTTGTACGAAAAGTACGGAATTGTACTAAATCTGGTATTGGGTGAAGCTATAGAGCTGGAATACCGAAATTTGATATTGAGGTCTCTGTTGGTATCTGGCATTGAGATTTAAAAGTATTTTTAAAATATGTGCTATATTTGTACGAAAAGTACTAAATGGTACTAAATTTGGTTTTGGGTGAAGGGTTTGGGCTGGAATCGTGAAATTTGATATTGGAGTCCTGTATGTCATACAGACCCCTGTTCGAAAAGTAATTTTTACAAATATTTGAAAATTAAATTAAAAATAATTTTTGAATTTGGAGTTTAAAAAAAAAAATATTTTTGTTGCAATTTTTTGTTGGATTTTTTTTTAAATATTTTTTTATTTTTGTTTTTAAAAAAAGATTAAAAATCGAAATTCACAGATTCAAGGTTTCCTCAGTGTGATACGCACCCGTGTTCAAAATTTAATTTTTACAAATATTTGAAAATTACATTTAAAAACTCAATCTTTGAAATTTGGATTTTTTAGAAAATAATTTTTATTTTTTTTTTGTCAAAAAAACATTCTTTTAAAAACCGAAAATCAAAGATTCAAAGCGTCCTTAAGGTCATATACACCCATATTTGATATGTAATTTTAACAAATATTTGAAAATTAAATTAAAAAAAAAAAACAATCTTTGAGTTTGGATTTTTCAAAAAAAAAATATTATTTTTTTTTTTTTTTTGAAAAAAAATAATTTTTTAAAATCCGAAATTCATAGATTTCAATAGTCCTTGAGGTCATACCCACCCCTGTTCGAAATCCAATTTTTACAAATATTTGGAAATTTCATTTCAAAAAATTTGAGATTTTTAAAAAATAAATTTTTATTTTTGTTGAAAAAAATATTTTTTTTAAATACCGAAATTCATTGATTCAAAGGGTCTTTGAACTAATTTTTTTTTTGTTTTTTTTGTAAAACATTTTTTTTTTTAAAATTCAAAATGCATTGTTTCAACTTGTCTTTAGTGTACTACACAGCCTTGTTCCTTTTCCTTTTTATTTTTGTTGTAACAAATATTAATATTAAAAAGAAACTCCGAAATTCATAGGTTTAAAGAGGTGTCGAAATGTAGTCTTTACAAAAACATTTGGAAATTAAATTAAAAAATCTATATATGAATTTGAATTTCTTAGAAATTAATTTTTATTTTTTTTTAATTTTTATTTTAATTTTTATTTTAATATTTTTTTTTTTAAAACTGAAATTCAGGGATTTTAAGAGACCTTAGTCCATACGCACCCCTGTTTGAAATGAATTTTTTACAAATATTTGGAAATTTAATTTAAAAAAAAATAATCTATGAATTTAATTTTTTTTTTTAATATTTTTTTTTAAAATTTTGTTGTAATTTTTTTTTTAAACCCAAAATTCATAGATTCAAATATTCTTTGAATTTTAAAAAATATTTTTTTTTTTTTTTGTTGTAAAAAATAATATTTTAAAAATTCAAAATGCATTGTTTCCACGCCTCCTTAGTATCATACGCACCCTTGTTCCTTTTTATTTTATTTATTTTTTATTTTTTGTAACAAATATTTGAAAAAAAAACCCAAAATTCATTGGTTCAAAGAGTCCTTAGCGTCATACGCTCACCTGTTCGAAATGTAGTTTTTACTAAAACATTTGGAAATTAAATTAAAAAAAAATTATCTATGAATTTGAATTTCTTAGAAATTAATTTTTAGTTTATTTTAATTTTTATTTTAATATTTTTTTTAAATTTTTTTTAATATTTTTTTTTTAAACTGAAATTCAGAGATTTTTGAAGAGACCTTAGTCCATACGCATCCCTGTTAAAAATTTAATTTTTACAAATATTTGGAAATTTATTTTAAAAAAATTAATCTATGAATTTGGAAGTATTAAAAATTATTTTAAAAAAGCAAAATTTGGAAATTTAATTTAAAAAAATTTATCAATGAAATTGGAAGTTTTAAAAATTATTTAAAAAAAAACAAAAATAATGGATTCAAAGAGTCTTTGTATTATTTCAAAAATATTTTTTTGTTGTAAAAAATTATTTTTTAAAAATTCGAATTGCTTGGGTTCAAGTTGACCTTAGTGTCATATGCACTCTTGAATTAGATTTTTTTTAAATTTTGTTTTTGAAAATTTTTTTTGAAAATATTTTTTTTGTAAAAAAAAAAACAATAAATGAACCGAAATTAATAGAATGGAAGTGTCCTTGGTGTCATACTCATCCCAGCTGGAAATGTAATTTTTACAAATATTGGGAAATTTAAATTAAAAAAATTAATCTATGAATTTGAAAGTTTTAAAAATTATTTAAAAAAAAAACAATATTTGGAAGTTTTAAAAATTATTAAAAAATAAAATTTGGAAATTTAATTTAAAAAACTTAATCTATGCATTTGGAAGTTTTAAAAATTATAAAAAAAACAAAAAAGATGGATTCAAAGAGTTTTTGAAATATTTAAAAAATATTTTTTGTTGTAAAAAATTATTTTTCAAAAATTCGAATTGCTTGGGTTCAACGTGTCCTTAGTGTCATATGCACTCTTGTTCGTAGAATTGGAATTTTTTTAAAAAATAATTTTTTATTACAAATATTAAAAAAATAATCTTTGAATTTGGATTATTAAAAAAAAATATTTTTTTATTTTTGGTGTAGATTTTTTTTAAAAAAAATTGTAAAAATATTTTTTTATAAAAAATATTTTTTTTATAAAAAAAAAGATATTTATTAAGAATATGAATAAAAAGTATTTTTTTTTTTTTTGTAAAAAAACAATAAATAAACCGAAATGAATAGAATGGATGAGTCCTTGGTGTCATACTCATCCCAGCTGGAAATGTAATTTTTACGAATATTAGGAAATTAAATTAAAAAAAAATCTTTGAATTTGGATTTTTTTAAAAAATATTTTATTTATTTTTGTTGTAGAATTTGTTTTTAAAAAAATCGATATTCATAGATTGTTTTTTACTTATATTTTCAAATATTGTCGAAAAAAATTATTTCGAACAGGGGTGCGTATGACATACGGCAATAATCATACGCTGCCAAAATCTTTTGGCCTAATTAGATTAAATCGTGATTTTTTCTGTTTTTTTTTTTTTTTTTTTTTCTAGAAATTAATTTTTAATTTTTTTTTTTTTCTAAAAAATAATTTCTTAAAAAACCGAAATTCAGAGATTTTAGGAGACCTTAGTCCATATTTGGAAATTTAATTTTAAAATAATTAATCCTTAAATTTGGAAGTTTTAAAAATTATTTAAAAAAAAATTAAATTCATGAATGCAAAGAGTCTTTGAATTTTTTAAAAAATATTTTTTTTTTTTTGTTGTAAAAACATATTTTTTTAAAGATCGAATGGCTTGGGTTCAAAGTGTCCTTTGTGTCATATGCACTCTTATTCCTATGAATTGGAATTTTTTTACAAAATATTTTTTGTAAAAATATTTTTTTTATAAAAAATATTTTTTTGTAAAAAAATAAACCTTAATAATAAATAAACCTTAAATAATAGAATGAAAGTGTCCTTGGTGTCATATGCATCTCAGCTGGAAATGTAATTTTTACAAATATTGGGAAATTAAATTTAAAAAAAAGTTATATTTAAATTTGGATTTTTTTAAAAAATATTTTTTTATATTTTTGTTGTCGATTTTTTTAAAAAAAAAATTGTAAAATAATTTTCTTTGTAAAAACATTTTTTTTGTAAAGCCAATAAATAAACCGAAATTAATAGAATGGAAGTATACGCATCTAAATATTGGGAAATTAAATTTAAAAAAAATAATCTTTGAATTTGGATTATTTTAAAAAATATTTTTTATTTTTGTTTTAGATTTTTTTTAAAAAAATTGTAAAAAATATTTTTTTTTTAAAATCCCTGAATTTTTTTATAAAAAATATTTTTTTTTATAAAAAATATTTTTTTTTAATATTTTTTTTATAAAAAATAATTATTTTTTTTTTATAAAAAATATTTTTTTGTAAAAGAAAAACAACAAATAAACCGAAATTAATAGAATGGAAGTGTCCTTGGTGTCATACGCATCCCAGCTGGAAATGTAATTTTTACAAATATTGGGAGATTAAATTAAAAAAAAATAATCTTTGAATTTGGATTATTTAAAAAAATATATATTTTTTTTAATTTTTGTTGTGGAAATTTGTTTTTAAAAAATTAATATTCATATATTGTTTTTAATTATATTTCCAAATATTTTCTAAAAATTATATTTCGGACAGGGGTGCGTATGATATACGGCAATACTCATACGCTGTCATGGGCTCCTGGCC